TGGGGCCCCTGTGTCCTCATCCACACTCAAACAACACCCAAAAAAGCCCATGAAAGGTACCAGGGGCATCTCATTGGGCTCCCTACTGAGCCCCGGGCCCTCAAGCAGTGCCCGAATTCCCAAATGGTCAGTCCACCCCTGGCCCCGAGGACACCACCCAATACTAAGGTGAGTCGGTCAGGCATTTCTTTTTCTTATTGTATCACAGTGGGTCCCGTTGCCAGTGTTTTTATTGTTACTGTACATTGAGGTTTTTGGAAGGAACCCTATTTGAAAATACTAGATGTGGTGCTATATATGTTTTTTATTATATGTATAATAAACTTGATGCTTTTCTGAAACAAATTAATTGTGTCATTCATTGTATACCCAGAAAAGTCCATTGCTACAATCTTTTTGAAGAAGCCATCGCTCTAAAAACAAACACAGGAAGAAAGTGCACCAGCCTAGTGCATTACCATAAGGCTTTAATGATCAATATGATGAATGCCAAACTACTCACAAAATTAAAAGGTGAATTGCATGCATCAGTCCAGCAAGCCACCTGGAGCACGTCCATCCACCAGGGCACAGCTTACGCGTTTCAAGGGTGATACCCTCTTCCTCAGTTTCTTCCCCCAAATTAAAGAAAGCAGCAAAGCCTATTCAGCGTTGGCATCAGAGTTGTTTGCGGTGGCTAATTTACATTCAATGTTGGACAAGATTGAAAAGGAGCCTGCCCTGACTCTTGTATACCCGGAAAAGTCCATTGCTACAATCTTTTTGAAGAAGCCATTTCTAAAAACCAACACAAGAAGAAAGTGCACCAGCCTAGTGCATTACCATAAGCTTTTAATGAATAAAAAGATGAATGCCAAACTACTCACAAAATTAAAAGGTGAATTGCATGTATCAGTCCAGCAAGCCACCTGGAGCACGTCCATCCACCAGGGCACAGCTTATGCGTTTCAAGGGTGATACCCCTTCCTCATTTTTTTACTGAGAAAGTAAGTTTCTTTAGCCAAATTAAAGAAAGCAGCAAAGCCTATTCAGCGTTGGCATCAGAGTTGCTTGAGGTGGCTAATTTACATTCATTGTTTGACAAGATTGAAAAGGAGCCTGCCCTGACTCTTGTATGTCCAGAAAAGTCCATTGCTACAATCTTTCTGAAGAAGCCATTGCTAAAACCCAACACAAGAAGAAAGCGCACCAGCCTATTATATAACCACAAGACTTTAATGAATAAAAAGATGAATGCCAATCTACTCACAAAGACTAAAGGTGAATTGCGTGTATCAGTCCAGAAAGCCACCTGGAGCACGTCCATCCACCAGGGCACAGCTTACGCGTTTCAAGGGTGATACCCTCTTCCTCAGTTTCTTCCCCCAAATTAAAGAAAGCAGCAAAGCCTATTCAGCGTTGGCATCAGAGTTGTTTGCGGTGGCTAATGGAAGAGCCATTTTTTATTCCCTCCAGCCCTAAACCCAACCAAGCAGTATACATTCAATGTTGGACAAGATTGAAAAGAAGCCTGCCCTGACTCTTGCATACCCACTCTTGTATATCCAGAAAAGTCCATTGCTACAATCTTTTTGAAGAAGCCATCGCTAAAAAAACCAACACAAGAAGAAAGTGCACCAGCCTATTGTTACCACACGACTTTAATGAATAAAAAGATGAATGCCAAACTACTCACAAAAATAAAAGGTGAATTGCTTGTATCACTCCAGCGAGCCACCTGGAGCATATCCATCCACCAGGGCACAGCTTACGCATTTCAAGGGTGATACCCTCTTCCTCAGTTTCTTTCCCTGAATTAAAGAAAGCAGCAAAGCCTATTCAGCGTTGGCATTAGAGTTGCTTGCGGTGGCTAATTTACATTCATTGTTTGACAAGATTGAAGAGGAGCCTGCCCTGACTCTTGTATACCCAGAAAAGTCCATTCCCTACAATCTTTTTGAAGAAGCTATTGCTAAAACCCAACTCAAGAAGAAAGCGCACCAGCCTATTGTATAACTTACGACTTTAATGAATAAAAGATGAATGCCAAACTACTCACAAAATTAAAAGGTGAATTGCATGTATCAGTCCAGCAAGCCACCTGCAGCAATCCATCCACCAGGGCACAGCTTACGCGTTTCAAGGGTGATACCCTCTTCCTCAGTTTCTTCCCCAAATTAAAGAAAGCAGCCTATTCAGCTACAATACATTCTGACAAGATTGAAAGAGCCTGCCCTGACTCTTGTATACCCAGAAAAGTCCATCCCTACAATCTTTTTGAAGAAGCTATTGCTAAAACCCAACACAAGAAGAAAGCGCACCAGCCTAGTGTATATAACCACAACGACTTTAATGAATAAAAAGATGAATGCCAAACTACTCACAAAAAAGTTTCTTCCCCGAATTAAAGAAAGAAAAGGTGAATTGCGTGTATCAGTCCAGCAAGCCACCTGGAGCACGTCCATCCACCAGGGCACAGTTGCCAAACTACGCTTGTTTCAAGGGTGATACCCTCTTCCTCAGTTTCTTCCAGTTTCCTGAATACCCAAAGAAAGCAGCAAAGCCTATTCAGCGTTGGCATCAGAGTTGCTTGCGGTGGATAATATACATTCATTGTTGGACAAGACTGCAAAGGAGCCTGCCCTGACTCTTGTATACCCAGAAAAGTCCATTCCTACAATCTTTTTGAAGAAGCTATCGCTAAAACCCAACACAAGAAGAAAGCGCACCAGCCTAGTGCATTACCATACGACTTTAATGAATAAAAAGATGAATGCCAAAAACTACAAAATTAAAAGGTGAATTGCATGTATCAGTCCAGCAAGCCACCTGGAGCACGTCCATCCACCAGGGCACAACTTACGTGTTTCAGGGGTGATACCCTCTTCCTCAGTTTCTTACTGAGGAAGTAAGTTTCTTTACCCAAATTAAAGAAAGCAGCAAAGCCTATTCAGCGTTGGCATCAGAGTTGCTTGTGGTGGCTAATTTACATTCATTGTTGGACAAGATTGAAGAGGAGCCTGCCCTGACTCTTGTATACCCAGAAAAGTCCATTCCTACAAACTCTCAGTCTGGACTTATTTGTAGGCTTCCTTTTCTTGGAGCACAGATTTGTAAAATCTTACAATATTTTATACATGTATATGTTCTATACATTTTTATTATCTGCTTTTTTTTAACATAACTTTTTTTTGTGAACAAATAATATTACTATTAGCCCACAGATCATCCTTTCCAGCAATAAAAGGATCAAAGGCAATATCTACGAGCTACAGTCATGCTCCTTCATACCGCCCCCCTACTGGTGCTAGACACAACATGGGACCCTTAGACTGCAACCAGCTAACGGGGAGGGGAAAAAAATGTGGGAAAAAAAAAATGAAAAAATACCAGGCACTATTTTCTCATCAATTCACGTTCCTCCAGAACTGTTTATCAAATGAAACTAATGAGATTTGGAGGCTACATTTACCTGATATTAAGCTGTTTTGATGAGTGAGGCAAATTGCTCTGGTTAACAAATGTAAGACCATCACTTTTATTGATACAGGTTTGTGTATGTGTGAAATTAATCAGCGCGTGGGTGATGATGAACAGTTTCTGTAGAATTCTGTCAAAGGTTAAGAGCTAGTTATTTTTAAGAATGACATGAATCTAGCAGAGACAGTGATTGCTTAAATGACCATTGTAATTACCAATTACTTCTTGAAGCAGAGAATATATTCACAGCATGCAGTGCTCTAAATACAGACAGGCATTAGACCATTTACGTACTAATGCACATAATTTAGCTCCTGAAAAGGGCAGATGGGAACACAATGGAAGATATAATAGATACGGCCTAATATCATTCCCTAAGAATATTGGATTCATCAGAGCCGAATATTACTTGATGTCACATTGTTTTTTTTTTATTTTATAAAACAGTCAAAATATATTTCGTCTCATTTTTCTGCAGACGCTGGCATGGAGCCGGTAGGTAGGTAGTTAATTTTTTAAAGGGGATCTTTAGCCATTTATAGGGGTACCTAAACTGTTTCTTTAGGGCAATGGTCTTCATTGGCCCTTTGCTTGCCTTTGTCTGGCATGGACTGTTGCTCCTACTGACACCAGCGATGGGGCACTATTCCTCCCACTGACATCCGTGATGGGGCACTATTCCTTCCACTGACATCCGTGATGGGGCACTATTCCTCCCACTGACACCAATGATGGGACACTATTCCTCCCACTGACACCAATGATGGGACACTATTCCTCCCACTGATACCAATAATGGGGCACTATTCCTCCCATTGAAAACCATGATGGGGAACTATTCCTCCCACTGACACCAATGATGGGACACTATTCCTACCACTGACACCAATGATGGGGCACTATTCCTCCCACTGATACTGATGATGGGACACTATTCATCCCACTGACACCAGTGATGGGGCACTATTCCTTCCACTGACACTAGTGATGGGGCACTATTCCTCCCACTGACACCAATGATGGGGCACTATTCCTCCCACTGATATCAATAATGGGGCACTATTCCTCCCACTGATACCAATGATGGGACACTATTCCTCCCACCAACACCAATGATGGGGCACTATTCCCCCCACTGACACCAATGATGGGGCACTATTCCTCCCACTGACACCAATGATGGGGCACTATTTCAACCACTGACACCAATGATGGGGCACTATTCCTCCCACTGACACCAATGATGGGACACTATTCCTTCCACTGACACTAGTGATGGGGCACTATTCCTCCCACTGACACTAGTGATGGGGCACTATTCCTCCCACTGACAAAACGATGGGGAACTATTCCTCCCACTGACACAAACAATGATGGGACACTATTCCTACCACTGACACCAATGATGAGGCACTATTCCTCCCACTGATACCAATGATGGGACACTATTCCTCCCACTGATACCAATGATGGGGCACTTTTCCTCCCACTGACACCAATGATGGGACACTATTCCTCCCACTGACACCAATGATGGGGAACTATTCCTCCCACTGACACCAATGATGGGGAACTATTCCTTCCACTGATACCAATGATGGGGCACTATTCCTCCCACTGACACCAATGATGGGACTGATATCAATTATGGGGCACTATTCCCCACTGATATCAATTATGGGGCACTATTCCTCCCACTGATACTAATGATGGGGCACTATTCCTCCCACTGATACCAATGATGGGACACTATTCCTCCACTGTTATCTGCACTATTCCTCCCACTGATACAATGATGGGGCACTATTCCTCCCACTGATACTAATGATGGGGCACTATTCCTCCCACTGATACCAATGATGGGGCACTATTCCTCTTACCCCCAATTGGTTCTTTGTACTGCAGTGTAGCTATACATGTGACTAAGACTGGTGTTATTGCTCATTACATAAGCTATTAGTAGCTCAGTCTAGCAGACATAACATATGCGACTGAAAGCAATACACTCTCTGCAATTTGTAATGATGCAAAACACTCACAATGCTCTTGGTAATGGGAAAATCATGTAATGTTTGCCAAGGTGACAAGAACGAGCTCAGAAGTAGCCATTTTTACTTCACAGCAAAGAATAGGTACTTTTTTGCCCAAAATATAATAAAACTTAGAATCACTGACATGTACCCTGCTGATAAATGGAAGTGTTAATTTTATTACATAGTTACATAGTTAGTCTGGCTGAAAAAAGACAAAAGTCCATCCAAAAAAAAAGATATAATCCTATACCCACAGTTGATCCAGAGGAAGGCAAAAAAACCCAGCAAAGCACGATCCAATTTGCTCATGCAGGGAAAAAATGCCTTCCAGGTCCCCCGAGAGGCAATTGGATATTCCCTGGATCAACTTTACCTATAAATGTTATATCCAGTTATATTCTGTGTATCCAAGAAAGAATCCAGCACTTTCCTACAGCAATCCACTGAGCTGGCCACAACCAACTCCTGAGGGAGTCTATTCCACATTTTCACAGCTCTTACTGTGAAGAAAACCTTTCCGTGTTTGAGAGAAAACCTTTCTTTTCCTCCAGACGTAAAGAGTGCCCCCTTATCCTCTGTGATGACCTCAGGGTGAATAACTACACCGAGTTCACTATATGAACCACTGATGTATTTATACATGGAGATCATACCCCCCTTATGTATTATACATGGAGATCATATCCCCCCTTATGTATTATACATGGAGATCATATCCCCCCTTATGTATTATACATGGAGGTCATATCCCCCCTTATGTATTATACATGGTGATCATATCCCCCCTTATGTATTATACATGGTGATCATATCCCCCCTTATGTATTATACATGGAGATCATATCCCCCCTTATGTATTATACATGGAGATCATATCCCCCTTATGTATTATACATGGAGATCATATCCCCCCTTATGTATTATACATGGTGATCATATCTCCCCTTATGTATTATACATGGAGATCATATCCCCCCTTATGTATTATACATGGTGATCATATCCCCCCCTTATGTATTATACATGGAGATCATATCCCCCTTATGTATTATACATGGAGATCATATCCCCCCTTATGTATTATACATGGAGATCATATCCCCCCTTATGTATTATACATGGAGATCATATCCCCCTTATGTATTTATACATGGAGATCATATCCCCCCTTATGTATTATACATGGAGATCATATCCCCCTTATGTATTATACATGGAGATCATATCCCCCCTTATGTATTATACATGGTGATCATATCCCCCCTTATGTATTATACATGGAGATCATATCCCCCCCCTTATGTATTATACATGGTGATCATATCCCCCCCTTATGTATTATACATGGAGATCATATCCCCCCTTATGTATTATACATGGAGATCATATCCCCCTTATGTATTATACATGGAGATCATATCCCCCCTTATGTATTATACATGGAGATCATATCCCCCCTTATGTATTATTACATGGAGATCATATCCCCCCTTATGTATTATACATGGAGATCATATCCCTCCTTATGAAATATACATGGAGATCATATCCCCCCTTATGTATTATACATGGAGATCATATCCCTCCTTATGTATTATACATGGAGATCATATCCCCCCCCTTATGTATTATACATGGAGATCATATCCCCCCTTATGTATTGTACATGGTGATCATATCCCCCTTATGTATTATACATGGTGATCATATCCCCCCTTATGTATTATACATGGAGATCATATCCCCCCTTATGTATTATACATGGAGATCATATCCCCCCTTATGTATTATACATGGAGATCATATCCCCCCCTTATGTATTATACATGGAGATCATATCCCCCCTTATGTATTATACATGGAGATCATATCCCCCCCTTATGTATTATACATGGAGATCATATCCCCCTTATGTATTATACATGGTGATCATATCCCCCCTTATGTATTATACATGGAGATCATATCCCCCCCTTATGTATTATACATGGAGATCATATCCCCCTTATGTATTATACATGGAGATCATATCCCCCCTTATGTATTATACATGGAGATCATATCCCCCCTTATGTATTATACATGGAGATCATATCCCCCCTTATGTATTATACATGGAGATCATATCCCCCTTATGTATTATACATGGAGATCATATCCCCCCTTATGTATTATACATGGAGATCATATCCCCCCCTTAATCCCTCTTCTCATGAGAGAAGAAATTCAGTTCCTCTAATTAGGTCCACTTTTACTTCCACTTTATGATGTGAATGTGAACATGGGTAGAAATGATAGCTGTTTGCAGTCAGCACCTTATCTTTAGTTTACTTCAGAGCAGGTTTGGTGCAAGTTTGGCATTTCTTTCCTTTGCTGTCCCATATTTAATCAGTGTACTCCGCATACAGATTTGGAAGTGCCCCCTCTAGTGGTAGTCCTTGGCAGCTGCTGCACAAAGTGATTGGCGTGAACGCGCTCCTGGGAGTTACAGGCCGCATTGTGTGAAAACCGTTATCATCACAGCTGTTACTCTAACGATTGGGATTTCTAGTAAAGTAAAAGGAATGAAGATGGAAGAGCACTTACCCTTTAACCTGATCTGCTGTTGGGAACCATCAACTTCTATACATTAAGAACTGAGTTATTTCATGTCAATAACCCTGTCAGGCTGTGTTTGGATGAACAGGTTATTAAAAAAAACGAATATATTAGCACTCCATACACTCACCAGACACTTTATCAGGTACAAATTGCTAGTTACATCGTTTGTCTGGCTGAAAAAAAGACAAAAGTCCATCCAGTTCAGCCAAAAAAAAAAAAAAGTTATAATCCCACACCCACAGTTGATCTAGATGAAGGCAAAGAAACCAGCAAAGCATGATCCAATTTGCTCCCACAGGGAAAGAATTCCTTCCTGATCCCCCGAGAGGCAATCGGATATTCCCGGGATCAGCTTTAACTATAAATGTTATATCCAGTTATATTCTGTGTATCTAAGAAAGAATCTAGCTAGTACCGGGTTGGACCCCCTTTTGCCTTCAGAACGGCCTTCATTCTTCATGGCATAGATCCAGCAAGGTGTTGGAAACGTTCCTCAGAGATTTTGGTCCATATTGACATGATAGCATCACACAGTTGCTGCAGATTTGTCGGCTTCAGATCCATGATGCGAATCTCCCGTTCCAGCACATCCCAAAGGTGCTCTATTGGGATGGAGATCTGGTGACTGTGGAGGCATTGGAGTACGGTGACCTCATTGTCATGTTCAAGAGACCAGTTGGGGTTGATTTGAGCTTTGTGACATGGTGCATTATCCTGCTGGAAGGAGCCGTCAGAAGATGGGGACACTGGAGTCATAAAGGGATGGACTTGGTCAGCAATAATACTCAGGAAGGCCATGACGTTTAAACAATGCTCAGTTAGTACTAAGGGGCCCAAAGTGTGCCAAGAAAATCTCCCCCACACCATGACATCACCAGTCAGGGGTGTATTTACCACAAGGCAGATAAGGCATTTGCTTAGGGCGCCATTTTCTAGGGGGGCAACACTGCACCCTGGAAGAAGGGAACATATGAGGCATGGGGACCAGGTGGGATCTGCGAGAGGCTGCAGGCTGCTTGATGGTGTATGCAGAGCCCGATTGTCATTCCCGGGGATGTCCAGAGCTGTGAAGTTGTGTTATTCTCTCATTCGCTGGGTTGGGGTGGGTTGAGTGTTAGAGGAAGTCTCTCTTGGGTGGGGATGGGGCAGGAGTGTTGCTGGTCACTGTCAGGCTGTGCCTGGGGGGGTGGGGGGGGGGGTCTGGTGTTGGTCGGTGTCAGGCTGAGGAGGCCACTTCCACCTGAACTGTTGATACAAGACGGGATGGATCCACCACACCATGACACCACCACCACCAGCCTGAACCATTGATACAAGGCGAGATAGATCCACCATACCATGATACCACCACCAGCCTGAACCGTTGATACAAGGCAGGATGGATCCACCATACCATGACACCACCACCACCACCACCAGCCTGAACCGTTCATACAAAGGCAGGATGGATCCACCACACCATGACACCACCACCACCAGCCTGAACTGTTGATACAAGGCAGGATGGATCCACCACACCATGACACCACCACCACCCAGCCTGAACCGTTGATACAAGGCAGGATGGATCCATGGTTTCATGTTGTTTTCATCAAATTCTGACCCTACCAGCTAATTGTCTCAGCTGAAACCGAGACTCATCAGACCAGGCAACGTTTACCCAATCTTCCATTGTCCAATTTTGGTGAGCCTGTGTGAATTTTTAGCCTCATTTCCTGTTCTTAGCTGACAGTAGTGGCACCCGGTGTGGTCTTCTGCTGCTGTAGCCCATCTGCTTCAAGGCTCGTGTGTTCAGAGATGGTATTCTGCATACCTTGGTTGTAACAAGGGGTTATTTGAGTTACTGTTGCCTTTCTATCATCTGGAACCAGTCTGCCCATTCTCCTCTGACCTCTGACATCAACAAGGCATTTTTCCTCTGCACAACTGCCGCTCACTGGATATTTCCTCTTTTTCGGATCATTCTCTGTAAACCCTAGAGATGGTTTGTGTGTGAAAAAATCCCAGTAGATCAGCAGTTTTTGAAATACTCAGACCAGCCCATCTGGTACAATAACCATGCCGAGTCACTAAAATGATCCCCTTTCTTCTCCATTCTGATACATGGTTTGAACTTCAGCAAGTTGTCTTCACCACGTCTAGATGCCTAAATGTATTGAGTTGCTGCCATGTGATTGGCTGATTCGCAAATTTGTGTTACCAAGCAAATGAACAGGTGGACCTAATATAAAAA